CGGTGCGCGGTGCGGTGCGCGGCTCCGCGGGCCCAGCGTTTCCCGTCAAACCGAGCCGAGGCCGCCCCGGAGGGCAGCGACAAACCCCCCCCACCCCCGGCGACCCCCGGCGGGTTGATGGAGAGGGGAGCCGGGTACCGGCGCTCGTTCGCCCGCCGGCCGCCGCTTCCCCCGGCGCTGACCCGGGTCCGGCTGCCGGGAGCCCCGCGGGGAGAGCTGGAGGCACCGGGTCCCGGGAACGGGTCCGGGTCCCGGGAACGGGGCGGGTCCGGCCGGTCCTCGGGTGCCCGGCGCCGGCCGAGCCTGTACCGGCAGCTGCTGCGGCCCACGCGTGGCCGTGAGCGATGAAGAACAACATATAAGAATTCCTGCTTAACGTTTATTAGAGCGTCGTTAATCAACGCGGCAGGGCGCGGAGGGGAAGCCCTGGACAAGGCAAACCGGGTGTTTAACTGATCCCCCAGCACTCCATCCCCTGCCCAGATCGGGTCTTTTTTTTTTTTCTTTTTTTTGTTTTCTTCCCCCTCTTTTTTTTTTTAAAGTAGCCTTTCGTTAGAGCGCTCCGGAGGGCCGCTTGATTTTATTTCCGAATTTTTTCCTTTTGCGCGGCCGGGCGGGGCGAGCGGAGGCCGCGGTGAAGGGCGCGGGGCCGGGGCTGCTCCCGGCGGTTCGGGTGGGCGCTGCTGACCCCCCCGGCCGGCTCCTCTCCCCGCAGGTGTTTCGGGACCAAGTGCGCGGGCTGTGCCCAGGGCATCTCCCCCAGCGACCTGGTCCGCAGGGCGCGGAGCAAAGTGTTCCACTTGAACTGTTTTACGTGTATGATGTGTAACAAGCAACTCTCCACCGGCGAGGAGCTCTACATCATAGACGAAAACAAGTTTGTCTGCAAAGAAGATTACCTAAATAACAGCAATACTGCCAAAGAAAACAGCCTGCATTCAGGTGAGGGAGTGCGGCCGGGGCGATGCGGTGGGGGGAAGCGCTCGGCCCCGGCTTCTGCGCGGGGTGGGAGCCGGTATTCTCCCTTCTCCCTTCTTCCTTCTCCCTTCTTCCTTCTCCCTTCTCCCTTCTTCCTTCTCCCTTCTTCCTTCTCCCTTCTCCCTTCTTCCTTCTCCCTTCTTCCTTGTCCCTTCTTCCTTCTCCCTTCTCCCTTCTTCCTTCTCCCTTCTTCCTTCTCCCTTCTCCCTTCTTCCTTCTCCCTTCTTCCTTCTTCCTTCTCCCTTCCTTCTCCCTTCTCCCTTCTTCCTTCCTTCTCCCTTCTTCCTTCCTTCTCCCTTCTTCCTTCCTTCTCCCTTCTTCCTTCTCTCTCTTTCTGCTCTCCCCTCTTTCTTCTCTCTCTTTCTTCCTCCTCTCCCTCACTCCTCTCCTCTCCCCCTGTCGTACCCACCACCCGTCCCCTGCGATCGGTATTTGCCCCCCCCAGCCGAGCCATGACCCAGTTTGCTCTCACCCAGCCACCACCGGCAGTGACCCCAGCCTGTCCCCCGACTCCCAAGACCCTTCCCAGGACGACGCGAAGGACTCGGAAAGCGCCAACGTGTCCGACAAGGAGACGGGCAGCAACGAAAACGACGACCAGAACCTGGGGGCCAAGCGGCGGGGCCCCCGCACCACCATCAAAGCCAAACAGCTAGAGACTCTGAAAGCCGCCTTCGCGGCCACCCCCAAACCCACCCGGCACATCAGGGAGCAGCTGGCGCAGGAGACCGGCCTCAACATGCGGGTCATCCAGGTACCGTGACCCCCCCCGACCCCCCCCCCCAAATGCCCTGGTGGCACCGGGTACCCCTGCCCGCTCGCTCCGGGGGATGCGGTGGCGTGGCAGGACCGGCAGCCCCCGCACTGCAGGGCCGGGGAAAGCTCCGCCGGCCTTTTATATCGGTATTACCAAGGTGTATCCCCCCGCCCAGCCCCGGCCGGTGGGCAAGGGCAGAGCTGCAGGTTTCTTTTAGAAAGTCCTAAAAAAGCTGCAAATGGTATCGAAATTAATAACCAGAAATGTGAGGGGTTAATGGATAAATAAGAATGACAATGCGCTGGAATTATTAAAAGGTTTATAAACCCGCAGCGCTGGGGGTAATGGGGGGTTAAAGGACCATTAAAGACGAGGTTAGATTGGAGAGTCTCAGTGTGAGGGTAATTAGGAGTAATCTTGTCAGGGTAATAAGAATTAACTCAATCATTCTTGACCTGCAGCCGGCGAGCTGCGGGGAGCGCCCGGCCGGCCGGCTGTGGGGCCGCCGTCACGCGTGGGTTCGGCCCCGTCTGAAACGAGGAGGAGGAGGAGCGCGGTCGGGGCGCACCGGATCGGGCCCCCCCCTTCCCCCGATCCCCCCCCTCCCGGGACAAAAGCGACTGGGAAAAGCGCAGCCCCGGGGTGGGGGGGATCGTCCTTGCCGGGGCGGCGGTGGGTGCCGGGTTCCCGTGAAGGGGACC